ATCTCTCCATTCCTGTATTTATTTAAAAAAAATGTGAACTGTCGATGTTGGCCTCTGTTGAGCCCTCCTGAGTCAGATCTGAATAGCCCAGCAATCTCTGCCCACCAGGAACTGACTCTCCAGAGGGGGATCACTATCAGCAATTACCACACTGGGTAAAAAAGCACTGTAATAGTTATTCCAAAGATGGTATGAGAGTTTTGGAAAAGGGCACTGAATCTAGCCTAGGAGTCTTGAGTGTCAGGAGATATTTCTAAGGGGCTATTTATTAAAAGACAAACATTAGGAAAATTGAGGAGGGGTTACCTAAGGTGGGGAGAGAATGTGTGGGGTTGGGGAGAGGAATGAGAAAGAAAGTACAGAAATACAAAGGCATGAAGAGTGTGGTATATAGTCATCCCTTGGTATACTTGGTTCCATGACCCCCATGGATACCAAAATCTGCAGATGCTCAAGTCCTTTATGCAACATGGTATAGTATTTGCATATAATCTATGCACATCTTTCTGTGTACTGAAAATCATTTTCAGATTACTTATAATACTAATACAATGTAAACATTATGCAAATAGTTGTTATGCTTTATTGTTCAGGAAATGATGAGAAGAAAAAGAAATCTGTACTTGTTTGGTATAGATGGATTTTTTTTTTTTTGGAATGTTGTTGAGCTGTTTTTTGTTGAACCTGCAGATGCAGAACCAGTTGGATACAGAGGGCCAAATGTATTTGGTAAACTGCAATAAAATTGATATGATTGGATGTGCTGTAGAGGATATGTCTGGCAGGTTAAACAGGAACTATTTAAAATATAACCTTGAATGACAGCTTGACCTTGGAGGTAAAGAATTTTAAGCAGAAAAGTTACATCATCTGAGGTGCATTTTAGAATATTAATTCTGGAAGTTATATGAAGGGTGGGACACAAGGGGAAACAGATCTAACAGGAAACATTGGTAATAACTAAGCTGCTGTAACAATATAAATGTGTTAGCTGTCATCATTCTTCTGCATTAATGCAGTACATATTTCAGGCTGTGGAATATAGGACCTGGGACCTAAATGAAAAAAATTAGGAATTTTAAGATGATTATAATTGTTTTAGTCCCAGATTTTGAGGGAATATAGGAGGAAGAATAGGAAGGAAAAGAAGGCAGTTGATGAGTTCAGTTTGAGGTGTTATCCAGACCTAGAGAGAGAACAGTTTGGGAAGAAATTTGTTATGTAGTTTTTTTAGTTGAGAAATCTAGGCTGGAGATAATGGAATTGAGAGGCTGGGGACAGAGAAGTAACATTTATAAATGTAAGGTGTTTGAGTTTTAAACATTGTGCCAGGTACCTCATGTATTATGTTTTATTTCATTTTGTTGATGAGGAAACTAAGACTTCAGTAGGATAAGTAATTTAGACAAGTCACATGTCAGAACCCAACTGTAAACTCAGTGTTAGCTTATTCTTTCTTTTAAAAGAATAACTTTATTTTGAAATATGACATTCATATAGAAAAAAATGTATATATCCTAGGTGTATAGCTTGATAAATATTCACTAACTGAATACAGCAGTGTAACCAAGCAACCACATCAAGAGAAAGGCTATCACCAGCACTGTAGAAGCTTCACATGTGCTCCCCACTCTGCCTGAACTTTTAACAGCATAGATTAGTTTTGTCTGATTTTACCTCTTACATATCTGCTTCTGTCTTTTCCTTTGCATTGTATATAATTTGAAAGCATGAGATGGGAATAAAGCCATTTTTTCTTGGAAATGTATAGGGAGAAAGTGTGAAGAAATCAAAGATTTTGAGAGTTTGAGATTGAGACCAAAAAGGAACACCAGAGAAATATGAAGAGTTCATAAAAGATTGGCATCACAGTGATCAAGAAATGGGGGTTCTGAGAATTGAGGTGTGAGTTACTATGTCAGACACAGTAGAATGAATGAAGAGGTTTAAACAAGGGTTGATGTTTTAATTGAGAGGCCAACTTTGACCTTAGGGATATCAGTTTCAGTGGAGTGAACCCAAGTTAGCATGCAGTGTTTTGAGATGTGGAGATAAAGTGAGGAAGAAAAGTCAACTATGGATAGTCTTCAGACTAACTACAAGGAAATAAAGGGTTTTCTCTTTTTGTGTGTGTGTGGAGGGATTTTTGCATGTGGTGGGTATTCTTTGTGGAATGCCATTTGGTTTTATAATTTTAGTAAAGAGGTTTTGTTATTTTAGTAAAGTGTTTTTCAACTGCTTGGGACCAGTTTTTAAAAAATTATTAAAGGATGACAATAATGGGATGTTATAGAGGACATGGCAAGGAAGGAAGTCAGCAAGTGTTTTAGCTTTAGTAGTTATTGAAAGTGACTGAGCATGTACATTTTAAAAATGATTTTTAGGATAGATTGCATTGCTAACTTTTGTCAATTATTTTTTAAAAGCTTTTTGGATCTTATTAGAATAAAGGGATTATTTCCAAGAGATGACTGGGAAATGACTGTAGTATAGTTGAGAAAATGAAATTATTAGCTGCGTTGTGGTTACCAATCAGTAGGATTATTAGCTTTTAAAGCAAAAATTTGGTGGATTTTTTTTTTTTGTCTCCACTGGTTACCAAACTTTAATTCATCCCTATAGAACAGTATCTCTAAATTTCCTCTCTTCTATTTAAATTGGTAAAAGGGACACATAAGAATACTTGAGTAAGTAAAACCATAACTCGCAGAAGCACAAATTGACTTTGATTGGCTTACCAGTACTTTTTAAAATACTTTGTTATTCAAGTAATAAATATTCAAAGTAGAAAACTTCAAAAATGTAGAGAAGCAAAATAAAGAATATAAACTTATAACCTTCCAGTATTTTTTCGATATCCGTCCATGCATGGAAAAATTTTACATTATTTTATAAGAAAAATATCAAAATTACTTGACCAAAAAGCACCCTTTTAAATGTACCAATTAAAGGGCAAAAGAAGGTAACATATGTGAACTTTTATCATTTTCCGTTCCCATTAAATACCTTCCTCAAAAACAAAAGTTAAAAAAAAGTTGTTTAAATTCTATCATTATTAACTCACTCTTTAAATTCTCATTCTGGGCCTGCTCTTTTCCAGGCACTGTACAAGGCAGTGGGGATATAACCGTGTGGGGACAAACCCTGCCAAGAGAAGTAAACAGGGTGTTTGGCATAGGAACAGTTTGTGCTTGGGAGAGGTCCAGAAGTGAGAGAGTAGGATCCTTTTAGAAACAGAAAGTTCAGTAGTGTTATAGTGTGTATGTTTCAGAGAGGGATATTTTGGAAAGGTGGTAAAGGTTACAGAGGTGAGCAACGGTTAATTCTTGAAAGCCAGGCAAAGGCTTTGAGTTCCTCCTGAGGCCAGTGGTGTCCATTCTGAGGTTTTTAAGGAGGGAAAGGACTTGATCAGATTTTACTTTCTATCATCCTGAAAAAAAGCAACAAGTAATCTGAAATGTTAAACAACAACAACAACAAAATGCCGTTATACCCAGATATAATGAAACACAGATGGACTGGTAAATTTCTTTTGTCATTTGTAACAGTATAAACTTATACTTAGAGGAAAGCAAATACACATATAGCAATGATATAAATTTTGATATTAACTTTATTTTTATCTAATATTTTACTATAAAATTTGTAATATTGCTATGTCAACAGGAAAGCTTATAAAATGTGTTTTAAATTTAAATTATTTGTAAAATGTGAATTACTTACTAAGAACTATTTCATTATTTAAAGTATATTTAAATTAAAAATGTAAGGTATAAGTTAGAAAAAATCCTGTATGATATATTACTAGTACATATAAATTATTATATATATTTAAATCTCATGACCATTTTATTAAAGCTTTGAAAAGCAGCTGATAGTATTTGGTTTGTCATTTATTTTTTTTGTTATATAGTTATAAAAGACATAATACATCAAACATTTTCAATATATATTTAATATAATTTGCAACATCTAAGATGAGATGAATTAACCAAAGTTTGCAACCTTTATTGTTCTAATCAAAATTCTTAAGTACTTTCATTTCATCATTAGGTTAGCATGCTGATATTCACTTAAAATCAACAATAAAGATCATGTGCAGCTCAATTTACCATTTTTCTTGAATAAAGTGGCATTTATTTGAAAAACCTTCCAAAAAGGACAATGATATTGATACCAATTTTAAAATAATCAGTTGTACAGGTGAGGTGATGATGGCACTGGCTTAAGAGTATAGCATTATCTTAAAATGTTTTCTTTATAAATACTCTTTGAATATAGGAATCTTTCTACTAATAAATTCACGAGGCTTTAACAGACCATTTCCCTTTGCTGGTTGATAATCTATATGGAATGTAGTGAGATTTGTTTGTATTATGCATATACTTCTCATTATCTACTTTGCTAGTCCTCTTGGCAAGGCTATGAGCTTTGCAAGGTATGAGAATGCTATATGTGTTCAGGGACCTGCTGTCATTTAGAACAGACCTGAGAGAGGGAGATACTTATATCAAACTGCAAACTAAAGCCAAAATGAAAAATGTCTTAATTTAGGTTTGTCAGCTCTTTAAGGCATTAAAGATTGCTTAGCAATATTTTGTAATGTTGTCCTCATCTAGACCCTGTTAATATGGAAATTAACATTTGTAATTATTTACAAATTAATTAATGGCCTTTTAATCTGTGTATTTAAGAAATTATAAAAGCCAAAGAAGCAGGTACAAGTTGATGTCACTTTTCCATATCATCTGCCAGTTCATGTAAGTACCTTTAACCTAGTAAAACAAAGGGTCTTGAATCTTGATTCTAATCAGAAAAATATCATCCTTATGCCCATTTACTTTCAATGAATAGGTATTTATGATACAATTTGCACTTTTCTGACATTTGACTTTTTTTTTTTTCCCAAATAAATGTAAGCCTGATGATGTTTTCTTTAAAAAAAAAAATTTGGACTTCTTTTCCTTTGATAGTTTCCTATCTCCCCCCCGCCCCCCACCCCATATCTTATAAACGTGGTCACATTTTATTCAAAACAGAATGAGTTCATTAAACCAATACACATTTGCCTTCTGGCCTATCTTTTTAAATGCATGGACATTTAACTAGTTTAAATAAGTTCTGTTAGTATTCAGGGCCCTTTTCAGATAAAAATAGCCACTATGAGGCTTATGGGAGAGCTTTCAGTTTCATAAATTATATTGCTACAGGCACTGTATTGAGAAGGAAGTACTGTCTGACTGTGGCATTTGGTCATATCAAGGTGAGTTATATAGAAGGGGAAAAGAAATCAATAAAATATAGGATGAATAATTTCTTAGATGTTAACAGATAATCTATCAGCGAAATTGGAGGGTTAAAAGAAAAATTCTTGGGCCTGTTGGATTTCAAATAATATAATCTGTGTAATTATTAAAAAATCAACATTATGTGAGTTGTATAGCTTATTAGTGAGAATACTTCAGTTTCAGGACTGATTTTTCTACCTGTGTGGTTGTCTGGTGGTTTCTGACCTCCTCCTTTTAGCTGTTATGTCTGAGAATTCTTACAACCATGATTTACTGTGGCTAAGAGGCTTTTTTTTTGGTTGAAAGTCATGGGAGCCCTCTCTATTTCCTCTATGTTTATTATTATGAGTTTCAATTTATTTTATGTTCAGTGGAATCCCAATATTGTTTGGGCCTTCCTTCTTTGTTAATGTTGTTCTTTTATTTTTTTTTTTCTGTTGATGATTGATAGTTTTTCATCTTGCTGATTAACACTACAAGGAGCTGATAAAATCTTTATCTATTATTGGGAGATTTGGGGCATATGTATTTTGCCCAAGAAAGAATGTTACAACACTTAACAAGTTTATTAAAACATGTTATAAATTCAAGTCTTTTGAAATTATACAAGTTAAAGATCTTATAACTTTGAATTACTTTCAAAGACCTCTTTCTTTCTAATTATGGTAAGATTGTTTATTCAACATTTTTAAAGGCAGAAATTGAATGTTTTTTGAAAGTACTGTTTTCTAATCGTCTAAAATATGAGGAGATCACTTACCAGTGGTGCACAAGACTTCTAAAACAGTTGAGCAGAGGGGATGAATTTTTTCTTTCTTTCTTTTTTTTTTTTTTAATGTTTTCTAGAAGGGAGATAAGATACTCTAGTGATATGTACATCTTCAGAAACTAATTTTTACCTGTAGCTAGGGTTTCTTTTATGTCAATCACTGAAAACAGTTGACAAAGCGAAGCATACTACATATAAAAGTAGCCTTTAGATTGCTTGTTTTACTTTTATTTATTTGCCTATATAATTTATTGTAATTATAAATAGGGAAGTTCTTATAAAAAAACAACGAAACAGAGAAACAAGCACTTTGCCATTCTGATAGATTATGATTTAGAGCTTAGTTCAAAAAATTAATATTTTGAGATTCCATTTCATCTTCATAGTTTTGATAGGAAACTGAACATGTTAAAGCAAAACCATTTATTTATAACTTTAAAGACATTATATACAAGATGCTATGAGTAAATTTATAGAGTGCATTGATATTACTATTTATTGCATATATTGGACTCCAGGCTATAAATTATTACATCTCTGTTCTATCAAAATTACTATTTTTTATAATGTTTATGATGAGGTATTTATACATACTATGGATCATGGATTACCACTTTATTTTTATTTTTTAAAATATATATATATATGTATATATATATATATATATATATTTTATAAGTGGACCTTTATTTTACTTATTTATATGTGGTGCTGAGAATCAAACCCAGGGCCTCACACATGCTAGGCAAGTGCTCTACCACTGAGCCACAAACCCAGCCCTACCACTTTATTTTGAACAAGGGAAAATGTGGTTTTCATATCTAGAAACTGAGAAAAAAGTGTTTACAAAAATCGAATGGTTTAAGATCATGTGCCATTATTTTTGCATGTTTCTGAAATAAATTTATTTTATGATTTTAATTATTTTTGAAGCTTTTTAATGTAGCATTTTAAAAAGATTATTAGTTAAGACAATTTACATATATGAATAAGCAATAAACCTTGATTTGATAGAATACATCAAATCAATGAACATCTTATGAAGCCAAGTTTAAGGCCTTGAAATCCAATGCTTCAATGCCCTGCAGTGTTAAAACAGCAAGTTTTGTTCATATGATTTGATAATTGAAATGAGAACAGAATTTTTCATTTCTCCATTTAAGTTAATATTATGATAGAAAAATTCCATTTAGGGTCTTAACTTATTACCTTTCCAATTTGTATATAACCAAAAAAGGAGAAAAAAAGCAAACTTTTGGGTATTATTTCTCCCAAGAATCTTTAAATAAATGGTTCATTGTTCTAAAAGGATAGGCTTAGGGTATCCTTTAACTTGGATGATAATCTCTTCTGTAGATGTGTTGAAACTGGGGACTAGAAGACAAACATTAATTGAACTTTATTTGGATAAAGTAATTGATTTTTTGTTTTAACCATTCCTTACTAGAATGGTTACTGGAACTTTTGAAGTAGATGAGCATTTTTTGCCTGAAGCTTAGTAAGGCAGCCAGGAAGTCTTTCCTCTTACTTGGCGTAAGTAAAGATAACTTTTCCATAAGATATTGCCAGAGATTCATTTGGTTTAACAGTTACATGGACTGTTTTGTGATTTCTTCTTGAGAACTATAATTCTACTCCAGGAAAATATTTGTCATTTTATTATAAATCTCTGGGTATCTAAAAAAGATAAAGAATATATAATTTCTTAGTAAACTACTAAAATATTTAAATGACCCAAAACATAATGGTGTTAAACTGATCCTCGTGCTGTCCCATTGAAGTAAATGTTATATTTTATTTTATGGACAAGGAATCTGAGGCAAAAGCAATTAGAAACTTAAGGTCATACAATTCAGTATTTATAGTCTCTTTTCTTGAACCCTGTTGCCATTGAACATTTATTTAATGAGTATAGAGTTCAGTTTTGCAAGATGAAAAATTGAGAGATCTGTTTTACAACAATATGAATAAGCTTAACACAACTGAATTGTATACTTAAAAATGGTTAAGATGGTAAATTTCATATTGTATGCCCAATTTAAAAATTCTCTTAGAAGTGATTTTCTTCTTTTTTTTTTTAGTTGTAGTTGGACACAATACCTTTATTTTATTTATTTTTTTCTATGTGGTGCTGAGGATTGAACCTGGGGCTTCACATGTACTAGATGAGCACTTTACAGCTGAGCCACAATCCCAGCCCCAGAAGTGATTTTCTTACTTTCTTTCTTTTAAATATTTTTAGTTGTGGATGGACATAATACCTTTATTTATTTATTTTTATGTGGTGCTGAGGATTGAACTCAGTGCCTCACACATGCTAGGCAGGTGCTCTACTGCCAACCACAACCCCAGCCCAGAAGTAATTTCCTTTTTGTTTATTTATTTAATAAAAATTGAATGAAAAATATACAGGCAGTAAAATGTTCACCATTTGACTCATCTCATTCAGTATAAAACAACTTAAATTTCATCACTTAAGAGGAAACTTGAGTTTCTACTTAGTATTGGGCTAAGATATAAGAAGTCTAATTTTCTTTCCTTACTATCAGAAGATTATACTTCTTTTAAAAAAATCTAATCGCTGATGGAATAGTAAAAGATATAAATCAGAATGTGATACCAGAGTATAAGTGTATTTTAGTTTGTCATTCTGAATGCAAAGTCCATTTTTTAAATTGAGATAATAAGCCTGCAGAATTTTAGTTATGGATGTGTTTTCAACTAAGTAAAATTTCTAAATTTTTAAAGATATAGTTATTCTGTAATTGTTTTTCGGTAATGAGAATTTTTTGGGGGCGTACTGGGGTTTGAACTCAAAGGCTAAGTAACATATGCATCACCTGATCTATCTACCACTTTTTGTGGTGAGACATCTGAATTTATTCTTAGTTATTTTGAAATATATAGTCTTCATTGATCTTTAAAAATAATTAAAAAATCAACTTCATTTTCACAAGACACCAAATTTAGTTTTTCAGTTATAGCACTACTTGGGACCTTAATTATTGCAGGGATTTAATAAATGTGTGGATTTCATTTGATGTCACAGATACCAATTTGTAAATGGGCTTGGATATTTGCAAAAGTTAATTCATGCTTGGAGCCTTTATATTTCAGATGGTTTGGACATAAAGCAATCAAAATCAATTATTTTTGTTATAAAAGCAATAAAAAATGTAATTTCTACTTATTGGGAGAGACCGCTCCAAGTATTATAGCTTTTGATACACAATATTAGTATCAGGTATTTTCTCCATTGTAGTAAAGTAAAAGTTGAGACTAAAGGTATTAAATGATTTGCACAGGGTTACTTGGCTGTTATGTCATTATATCAGGAATAGTATTGAAAACTTATGACTCCTAGACCAGTGTTCTTTATACCTGTTTTCAAACTTTGTTCTAGAAGGAACTACAAGATGAAGTATAGTACGAAATGAGGACCGTAGAGACCACCGTAGAGTAGCTTCATCATTAATGTTTTTATATAATTGGCATAAGAAATGTTTCTTCCCCCTACCACTCCATAATGCTGCTTGGGGCTGGGGTTGTGGCTTGGTGGTAGAGTGCTTGCCTAGCATGTGTGAGGCACAGGTTTCAATCCTCAGCACCACATAAAAATAAATAAATAAAATAAAGGTATTGTGTCTGTCTACAACTAATTTTTTTAAATGATACTGGTCCTTTCAGTAAAACTTTGAAAAATTATCGTACTGTATAATTGTTACTACATTTGCTTCGGAATGGAAGCTCTAAGTCAAATTAATCAGTGGTAACTCTGCAAAGGAATAAGAAAAAAAAAAGTCTGTTCCTGAAATATTTGGTGTATTGACATTATCCTGTCAAATCACTCTCAATTAAATTTAGAATGAAACTCACACTCCTTAATGTGGCCTGCAGAACCCAACCCTGAATGATCTGATTTTGCCTAATTCTGTAACAACATCTCTTGCTGTTTTCCTTCTTAATTTATGATCCTCCATATCTTTCTTTCAGTTTTTAAATATGCTAATTCTTTGACACCTCAGGACTTTGTGTACGCTTTTCCTTTGCTAGTATTTCTCTTCTCAACTCTTTCCATGGTTCACTTCTTCATCAAGTCTCAGAGGCCCTCCCTGATCATCCTTTCTAAAGTAGGCTATCCCTTATTCTCCATCCAGCATCTTATTTGTTTCACTTTTATTCTATAACACAAAGTGAAATTATTTA